GCCTTTCCCCATGTGCAGTTGTTCAGTGGGCTAGCCTCCGTGTGCCCATCAAGGGGACAGTCTGGTACCAGGGCTGTAACGGGTACCACACAGCACTGCCTTGTTCAGCCTTTCCAGAGAACTCGGGACTTCCTGGTTTTACACCATGGAAAAGTCCCTAGAGGGAATTTCTGAGAAATAGTATTTTCTTTGGATTTTTGCGTAAGAGGGGGCCCAAGGCTGTGAAGGCTGTTGGATTAAATTTTAAAGCGATCCAGGGGGCAAGATAAACTGCAAATCAGTCTTATTGGCAGCAAATTGCACAATGGAAATTAATTTTTATCAGCTGAATTAATGCTATGTGTTCAAGAGGAAGGGCAGGGATTTTTTTAAAATTTATGTCAGAAATAACAAAGGCTTCTAAGTGGCTTTAAAGTCTCTTTTGCCCATAGTCCTCCTCTGTTTTTATCCTTCAATCTACTTTTTTTTTTTTTTTTCTTGGAGACAGGGTTTTTCTGTGGCTTTGGAGGCTCTCATGGAACTGTCCTATTTTTATCCTTAATTGCCTTAAGTTTTGATCTATTCAACAAGTTTGCCTATTTTCCTAACACACCTTTCTTCTGCTGCCGATAATCTGCATAAATGTATATTTTATATTTTTTTGGTAGTTGTGTGGCATTCAGTCTTACATTTACTTTTGTTTTTGTAAAATTTATTGTATTTATTTATTGGTGTGTGTGTGTGTGTGTGTGTGTGTGTGTGTGTGTGTGTGTGTGTGTGTTGATTTTCTCTTCCTACCATGTGATTCCCTGGTGATCAGTCTCCGGTCATCAGGCTTTGGGGCAGTGCCTCTACCTGGTGAGCTATGCTGGCCCTACTTCTGTTTTTAAGTTCTCTCTCTCTCTCTCTCTCTCTCCCTCTCTCCTTCTCCCTCTCCCACCCCCCTCTCTCCTTCTCCCTCCCCCCCCTCTGTGTGTGTGTGTGTGTGTGTGTGTGTGTGTGTGTGTGTGTGTGTGTGTGCATGTATGTATGTGTACAGGTATGCATCTATGTAGAGACCAGTGATTAGCCTTGGGTGTTCTTCAGGTGTCTCCTCCTGGTTTTATTTATTTTAAAAAATCTTTTTATTGTTGATTTTTATTTTACATGTCTTGGTGATTGGTCTGCATGTATGTCCGTGTACTATGTGTGTGATTGGTGCCTGTAGAGGTCAGAGGAGGGTATCAGGTTCCTGGAACCAGAGCTAAAGACAGTTGTGAGTTACCATGTGGTGATGGAAACTGAATCCCAGGTCTTCTGCAAGAGCAGCAGGTGCTCTTAACCTCTGGGCATCTCACCAGCCTTTCTACCTTCATTTCTGAGACATGACCATTCACTTGACCTAGTGCTCATCAGTCCAGCCAGGCTGTCTGGCCAGTAAGACCCAGGGAACAGCCTGTTTTCACCATCAAAGCTCTGGCATTCAGAGTATGTCCCGCCTCATCTGGCTTGTTTTAAGTTTTTTATTGTTTGAAATGATGGCAGGTTCTGTCCCTCTTGCTATCTTATGTAGTCACAGCCATATGCCTGCCCTGATAACCTGCTCCTTCCCCTGACTGGCCAGCATGATTCCACTTTAAAGACATTGCATAGGTTGACTCTTTGCCTTTGGGATCCATGAAGCTTGCATGAGGTATGGATATTTTGCTCTTTTCATTCTCCACTTCCTGTCCCAACAGAAGTAATCCTTCATCTTACCCAATCTTTCTTACCTTGGCAACTAGCCCTCCCCACTTTCCTCCAAAAGTTACTTCTGGTTCTGCCTGCCTGTCCCAACTTCACCTGTCACAGTTGTTTGAAGATGTCCTGATGCTGAGTCCCCAACTCAGCATTTGGAAGGCACAATGGGAAGCCTGGCTATGGAGCCTCCACATATGTTGGAGGATTGCAACTAACTCTGAGGCCTCTGTCTGATGACTTGTCTGACAGATAGGCTCTTGACTTGAAGGAAACTAAATCTGATGGTGGGAAGAACAAGGCCCTTCCTCATTTCTCTTTTCCAAGGAAGTTGTTGGTCCTGATGCCTCAGTCTAGCTGTCATGTTAAGACTGAGTGACAGATCTCTCAAAACTCATTGTGAAGTCCTATCTCCAATGTGACTGTAGAGAGGAACTTTATGGAACCGAGGAAGGTTAGATGAGGACACAGGGATGGAATCCTAATCTCATAGGATTGGTGTCCTTAAAAATAAGAGATACAGAGTATTTTCTGACCCACCTCTTCTCTCTGATCCAGCAAGGTGTCTACATACTTCCTGTGAAGACAGCCAGCACCAAGACTGCCCTGATGAGCCTTGATCTTGCATGTCTAACCTCTGGAATTGTAAGAAATAAATATCTGCTGCCTGACATGCATCCATATTCCAGTGTGCAATAAGCAGGGCTTGCTGGGGGTGGGGGGTTTAAATACTGCCTCTGACAGTATGCCAAGCAGTTAAGAAACAGTGAGAGAGAAATGTTGCCTGATTAGTCTAGGTATATTTTGTTGTGGCAGCTGGCGCTGACATGCTCAATTCTAGTTGAGCTCTTCCTATAGCCAAATATAAAATAAATGTCCCGATGGTCATGAAATCTGAACTTGCCTTTACATAGGTGAGACTTTGCATTGGAATCTCACTAGCTACTTTTTGCTGCTGCCATTTCTTTTTCACCTAGCTAATTTCTAAATTAGCTTTCATTCTCCATGTGTTTTGTTTACTCATTAGGAGTGAACTTAATTGGTCATTCAGGGAGTTTTCTGAGCTTGGTGCTTGCTTGGCTCACAGTCAGAAGGTGTGAGCTGCATGGAACAGGTTCCGGTTTTTAATACCTACTTCCATTAACCTCAGGCTGAGTTTCCTGTGAGGCTTTGTCAACACCTCTCAGATTCAAGATCCCGATTCCCAGGGAGAGCTCTGGAGTCGTCTCAATATTTGTAATGCCTCAGACAAGTTGTCACTTGCCTTAGGGACATGGAAGTACAAAGCACTTTAGATTTAATCCTAAATAATTCTTCAAGAGAAAAAAGTAGACTAGTGAAAAGATGAGTTTGGAAATTGCATGTTCTCTGTCTTTCCCTCCCTGCCTTCCCTTTCTCTTGCATGCACTCTCTCCTTCCTTCCTTCCTTCCTTCCTTGCTTCCTTCCTTCCTCTCCCTTTTCTTTCCTTCCTCTTTCTTTCCTTCTTTTGGTACTGGGAGGGAAACCTAGAACCTTTGTATGCTTAGAAAACCCCCCGTCACTGAGCTGTTCCCATTCATGGAAACACTTTCAAATTTGGGTTTAAAACTCATTAATAGGGGTTGGAGAAATGGCTTCTGGTTAATAATACATAATGAACTCATCAGTGTGTGTGTGTGTGTGTGTGTGTGTGTGTGTGTGTGACAATAATAATTAAAGAAAAGAGGTCATGAATTTGAGACAGGGGACACAGGAAGAGTCAGTGAGTTCGGGCTCAGTTAGAGACCTTGCCTCCAAAAAATAAGATGAATCTCTTACTCTTTAATTATTATAGCGCTAACATATTTAGTTACAATAAAGAATTAATATTTACATATCATATTATATCTGTATATCCATATCTATCTATAGTTATATAATCTATATGTATCTCTATGTATATGTATATGTATATGTATATGTATATGTATATGTATATGTATTATGTCTAAGCAGAGACTCAAGGGTTGGAAAGAAAGAGAACAAGGATGTAGGCAACTTCAGCATGACTGCAGTCATGTCTCCACAGGCTGGAACCTGCAACCATGAACTCTGCACAGAGGTGGGCAGCAGTCTCGCATTAATGTTAAGACTGACATGCAGACTGGGGCCTAGGGATGCATGCTTTTGTTTCTTGATGGAGATGGCAGAAACAGTGCTGTGACTTAAGAGGCTTGCCTTTCACAAAGTGAGCAGAGATGCCTGCATCCAGCCAGGGATAGAAGGAGTGCTGGTCAAAGGGGTATTATAGACAAGAAACAAAGATTGCTGTAAGCCACATACTGTACCTGCTTAAGGAACCAACTACACTTTCACAGAGTCACCCCGGCTTCCTCCTTCTGGAGTCACCCAGTGTTTCCCCCATCTGGAGACACCCAGGCTTCCTCCACTTGGAGTCACCCAGTATTTCCTCCATCTAGAGTCCCCCACGGATTCCTGGACTTTTCTTTTATAAATGGTGAAAAGAGGATTTATTTTACTTCCCCCTTCTCCCTTTCTCCTTCTCCCTCCTTCTCCTTTTTGGAACAGTCTCTCATGTCATGTAGCCTGGTCTGACCTCAGACTCACTAAGCAGCCGAATAACCCCGATCCTCCTGCCTCCATCTCCCAAGAGTTAAGAATACAATGTATGTCATCATGTTTGCCTGTATTTGTTTGTTTGGTCATGGCTGTTTTAATTTTGTAGAATTAAAATTTCTTATTATTTAAATTAGTATACAAAATAATGGGCTTCATTATGACATCTTTCAGGCTGGTTTCTTTCCTCCCTTTGAATAGTTTTCTTTTTATTTTTATACACACACACACACACACACACACACACACACACACACACACACAAATCTGGAGTTTGCTTATGAGAAACAACACAAGACACATATTTTCCTTCTCCCTTCCTCTGTATTGATCCCCTGACTTTGGTACCAGAGCCCATAGCATCAGTGCTTCAGCTGAAATAGAGGCAGTGGCATCCCCTTAAACCATTCCCTACATGCTGTGATGTTTGGTCATGTCTGAGTCAGAAACTGGGCAAATGGGACTACTGAGCAGAATCTAGTGCCAATTTTATGAATCCATTCTTAGCGTCATTTCCTTCTCCTTGTTTCTTTTCATTGCTCTTTCTTTCTTTCTTTCTTTCTTTTTTTCTTTCTTTCTTTCTTTCTTTTTTTCTTTCTTTCTTTCTTTCTTCTTTCTTTCTTTTTGCTTCTTCAGTGCTAGGGTTCAAACTTAGGATTTTGCACATTTGAGGTGAGCACAACCCCAAGGCTTTGACCCCATTTCTTACCTTTACTAAAAGATCCTTGGCATCCTTCTCCAGCCACCGAGGGTAAAAGGGACTGTCCATGCGGATGGAGTGGAAAAGCTCCTCTTCATCCTGCCCATGGAAAGGTGACTGGCCAATCAGCATCTCGTAAAGGAGGACCCCGAAGGACCACCAGTCGACAGAATGGTTGTATTTCTGGCCCAGCAAGATCTGCATGACCAACAGGCAGAAGCATCATCAATACATGGGTCTGATGACTGATAACACTTCCAAGTCTGGAGGTATTTGGTCTGTCTTCCAGTGAGGAGGATGTAAAGGCAAAAATTCTACATAACTTAAAACAATAGATCTATTCTTTTATCAGTTTACTTTTTGTAGCAATAAAGATGTTGTCCCTTAACTTGCAGCAGCTTCTTCTGCTGTTGGAATGCCAAGGATGTGGAAGCCACTGTGTCATCGCACATCATCCCAACACCAACAGGCCTCAGGCTTTGCTAAAACAGTGCATAGTGGGATCCACGACTGCATGGATGACTGAAGATGATGTGGTGGTGAGTGTACTAACAAAATCAACAAAGTCAGTGAGCTTAAGAGACATGGACACTCTGTTTAATATAGCACTGTTTATGGTAACTAAGATAGGGAATCAGCCAAAGATCCCACCAATGGGATGCATGCACAAAGAAATTGTGACATGTAGACACAGCAGAATGCTATCCAACCTTAAAAACATGCATGAACCCGGAGCACTTCATGTTAAGTGAAATAAACCGGATGCAATGACAAACATTGCATGACTTCACTTGCATGAGCTACCCAAGGCCCTGGATCAGAGTGGAGTCAGAACACAACGCAATGTTCTACAACCCAACAGCTCTGATGGTTGTGTAAAGTCCACATGTTCTGCATCTCATTGCACAGCTTGAGGGAAGACTCCTTACCCCTTCAGAACCTTCGTTGTTAGAAAGGGTGTTATGCTTGGCTACCTTAGTACAGGGTGGCTGTAAGGATCCCACAAAAAGTAGGACCTGGAAATTTCCATAAGTGCAATGTTGAACAGCTATTTGGATGAAATTTATCCCCATGTATGAAAATAAGGATCATTTAGCAAACAGAATTTTGCAATCTGCCACTGTTATAAACTGCTACCCAGTAGCTTTAATTCAATATGGAAATATAAAAGATCACCTTAAAGTTGACAAACAAAAATTTGACTACATTCGCCCTAAGGAACAATGTAAAAATGTCGACCCAGAGAGAGTGACCAAGAAGAAAAGATGCACAATTAGTTTGTACAATCAGTTGGTTCCGCCCTGCACACAAAGGGTATCAGGTACTGGGCTCACACGCAATTCCTAAGACAAGCCAGAAGGTGGTGCCAAAGCAATCAGAACTGGTTCTGAACAACAACTCCCTAAACAACTTCATTTTGGAGGAACAAATAAAAAGAAATCTGGAGGCCACAAGACAGATGTCATAGAAATTAGAATTTCAAGGCTAGGTGATGTTAGTTAAAGTAAATACAGCCTTACTTTAGGAGGGAGAAGCAAAATGCAAATTCAGAAAGGGAACAGGCTGTTCAAGAAGAAATGTTAACATCATCCACCAGGTGTTTTTTGGTACATTACGTCTTTGTTTCTAACACCCGGGACCTCTGCTGTTATCCCTGGAGGATAATGACTGGACTTGGCAGGCTGTGTTTCTTATTTCAGGTCTCATAGTGAGTTGAGAGCTGGATTCTGAAGTTTAGCCTCTGAGGATTTCAATTCATGTTAATACTGTCTCCCGGTTTTTATCTCTTCGTGCAGGGTCCTTTGCTTGCTGTTCTGTGATGGAGAGGGCAGTGGAGCTGGACTGGGTAGAGGGTCGGTCCCCTTTCCTAGCTCTACTTACTCCAAGAACTGAGACTCACAACTTCACTGGAGAAACTAGCCAAATAATAATAACAATGGCTTTGTCACTATCTGACACAGGCCCTCTTTGTCCCTTGTAATGGGTGACAGTGACAGGTCCATGGAGCTGTGTGCTAAGGTGTGTACACTCCTGAAATGGTGATGACTTGATACATGCATCCCACTAGTGAACACAAGGATCTAGTAGCAAACAGGACATTTGGGATAGAGGTAGAGTTTAAAAAAAAATGATACGAATATATGAAGGAAGTAAGAAATGGTGGTGACCAGCACTCGGGAGGCAGAGGCAGGTGGATCTCTGTGAGTTCGAGGCCAGCCTGGTCTCCAGAGTGACTGCCAGGATAGGCTCCAAAGCTACACAGAGAAACCCTGTCTCGAGGAAAAAAAAAAGAAAAAAAGAAGACATCATCTTCCTGAGTGCTGGGATTAAAGGTGTGTGCCACCAACACCCGGCTTAAAAAAAAAATCTTAAAGACCGTGTTTTGGATAATGGACTTTCGTCTGCTATCATCAGTGACAGTCCTTGCTAAATATGGATTATGAATTGTTTCATATTGTACTTGTTAGAATTCTTTACCAGCCATGATAGTGTGAGAATAAAAAAATTGAAGAACTACATCAGCCTTAAAGTATTAAACCAATATTTTTGTTGTTGTTGTTTCAAGACAGGGTTTCTCTGTGTAGCTTTGGAGCCTGCCCTAGAACTAGCTCTTGTAGACCAGGCTGGTCTGGAACTCACAGAGATCCACTTGCCTCTACCTCCCAAGTGGTGGGATTAAAGGTGTGTGCCACCACCGTCCGGCCAAACCAAATTTTTTTTTCAAAAACATTTTTTTTTAATTACATTTATTTAGTGTGGAGAGGTATGTGCTTGCCTTGGCACATGTGTGCAGGTCAGAGGATAACTTGCTAGGAGTCTGCTCCTTTTGTCATGTGGGTCCTAGGGATGGCACTCAGGTTGTCAGGCTTGGTAGCAAGTGCCTTTACCAGCTGAGCCATCTCATGGATCCCTAAACCAACATATAAAAAGAATTATCTCCTAAGTATAGTCTTCACCCTCAACAAGGAAATTTCTCTTTGGGACAGATGGAGAGACCATTACAGAAAAACAATTGAAAATCAGAGTGTGGGACCCAGGCCCAACTGATGCTTCTATAACACAACTCCCACATCTAAGGCTCAAGGATGAGTACCAAAGAGGGGAAGAATGATCCAGAAGGACAGGCAGTTTGCTGTGGGATGTCAGAATGTCAGAAGCTACACCTATAAAGCCGGACAAAGGCCACACCAACAGCCATGCCAGAGCGGATGGGGGAAGCTCATGAGGCCTCAGCCTAGACAAAGAACTACAGGCAACCAGAGAAAGCCGAGAACAGGAGAAATAGTCTGACCCAGTGAAGAGCACACCAACTGGCTATCTAATACCAAATGGTTAGCCCTGAAAACATACACACAAGTGGTAGTATAAAGACAAGTAGGTTGTACTTATTTATTTAGAAACCCGCACGTGCGTGCATACACGCCCCCATTACCACCAATTAATGAAAAAAGAGGCCATACATTTGAAAGATCCAGGAGGTATATAGGGAAGGGTTGAAGGGACAAAAGGGAAGGGAACTATTTTAAATCTCAAAAAAGAAATAATTTTAGTAAGTTATTTGACCTTGTAATTTTCATGACATATACTTGCTTCCTACTGTTAAGACAGAAGAAAATTAATCTACGTAGTTTAATAAGATAAAAACTTGTTTTTATCTCATTCTTAATTTAATTTGCTCTTATACATTTTGCACAAGTTTTTTTAAACAGACCATGTTAATTGGTAGCAATGCATGAAATTCATATAAAATGTAGACACACACATATCTTCAGAGTACTTGTTTAACTGATAAAGAAACATCATCAAAAAGTCTGACAATATGGGGTCACTGAGATGGCTCAGTGGGTAAAGGTACTTGCTACCAAGTTTGATGACCTGAGTTTGATCCCCAAGACTCACATGGTAGAGGGAGAGAACTGACTCCTGCAAGTTGTCCTCTGACCTCCCGATGTATGCCAATGTGACAATCATGTGTGTATATACACATATAATGCTGATTACATAGATAAATAAATAAATGCATTTTAAAAGCTTGAAAATGCATAGAGGCTGATGGTGTGTAGGATGGAGAGAAGTCGTGAAGAAGGATATTGCCATACCTGGGTTTAGGGCAAGAAAAGACAGATGTTCTAGAGCAGGAAATGCCCGGAAAGGATGGGGAAGACCTGGAGATCCTTTGGGGGGCCAACTCAAAAGGATGCATTTTGAGGATAGAATAAGAAAAAGGGAAAGTCTTGATTCAGTCTCAGAATTAGGGGAATGAGAGGTCCGATTGCAGAAAGCCTTAGATTTGACTGGATTGGGGGAAGGAAGGAGAACACTTGAATATTATATTTCAATTTTTTATTGTTGTTGAGGAAACTGGTAGATGGCCTATAGTTAATCATGAAAGATGTATTAAAGAAAAGAGAAACATCAGGCAGGCTCAACAGAGAAAGTGATGGGAGCTATGATGTTTGGAGGGCCCATGACATAAACTTAAGTCTGTGATGTATGTAGGTCTGTCTGAAGCAAGACAAAATTTGGGCTGGTGATGCTAACTCTGGAGCTAAAATCATTGTCATAGATAAAGTTACTTATTGGAGAACATACAGAAAGGGGTTGGAGAGATGACCCAGCAGTTAAGAGTACTTGCAGAGTACTGGAGTTTGATTCCCAGTCCCCAAGTTGGACTGCTCACACGACCTGTTGTTCCGCTCTAGGGGATCCCACATAATCTTTTTGCCTCTCCAGGAACCCCTACATACATTCACATGTCCCTCCCCTGAATATATGCATACATAGTTAAAAAGTAAAGTGAGTATATGAGATAGGTAGGTAGGTAGATAGATAGACAGGTAGAGAGATAATATATGGTAAGAAGAGATGAGGACCAAGAATGGAGCCACAAGAAGACAAGCATGGAGACAGAGGGAAGTTGAAAACAAAATAAAACAAAAAGCAGCCAATCACTGAAGCTACGTTCTAGAAGCTGTGAAAGGAAACAGAACCAGGAAGGGAAGCCTTGCTCGGGAAAGAACAAAACCTAAGAAGCTACAGACAGGGATGGACAAGAATAGATGCAAAGACATTTCCCCCTAAGGTAGGGGGAAAAGAACTGAAGGTAGCTCATGGGGTGAGGGTGGAGTGGGTGGGTGTGGGGCAAGAGCAAGACACAGGAGACCTTTGCTGAGACTAACACACATCTGAGCTGGGTCAGCACAGTTTAGCATCATCACTGAAGGGGTTCGGTGATGCAGGGAGTCTCTGCTCTGAGGTCCCCTACCAGTGTGCCACAATTTGCTTTGGCTTCCCCTCAAACTAAAACTGGTTGATTGCACCCACAGTCAGTGTCTGTGCTCATGCACAGGTTCTCATACCAGAAAGGTATCACAGCTGGGAACTGGGCAATTAAAATATGAAATACGCACAATTTCTTGAAGAACAGTGGCCATCTGTACCTTTCAATGAGGTTAAATTAAAATTAAGACCACAGTAGCACAGGGGAAGCAGCACAATTCTCAGCCTCAGCTGCCATGGTGATTGGAGGATTATGGGAATCTGCTGCTGGCATTGCTTTGCCAGGGAACTCAGAGGAACTTATTAGACAATCATCCTCCATTCACAAACTCTTTCATTCATTTATTCACTTTTAAAAGGCCAGTTTGTCTCACCTCACTGTGCCAGTCCCCTCGCTGAGGAAAAGGGAAGGCCGCTCAAATCTATCCATGAGGGGAACTGGTGAGATGTCCCTCACAGTCTCAAGCATTTGGACCCTTTGGTGGCACTGTTTGGTGAGGCTTAGGAGGTGTGGCTTTGCTGGAGGAATGAGGGCCAGCTTTGGGGTTTCCAAGTTTCTCACCACTCCCTGAGTTTCCTGCTTGTAGTTTAACATGCTAGCTCTCAGCTGTTGCCCCAGCCACCATTGCCTGCCTGCTGCCATACCCACCCTCTGTAATGGTGATGGACTCTTCTCCCTCTGGAACTGTAAGCCCAAATAAACCCGTCCTGCTATAAGTTGCCTTGGCCATGGTGTTTTATCACAGCAGTGAAAAAGGAACTGATATATTTTGTGTGTGTGGTATATGTGCAGGTGCAAACACATGTGTGTGTGTGTGTGCAGCCATGATGGTGTAAGACTTTGAGTATCCTGCTATTTAACTCTCTACCTCATTCCTTTAGACAGGGTCCCTCACTGAATTTGGAGCTAGGCATGTAGTCAGAAACCCCTAGGGACGCTGCTGTCCCTACCTTTCAAAGCTCTGAGGTTATAGTGGTGTACATGGTCATGCCTGGCTTTTTAGGTGGGTGCTAGAAGATTTGAACTCAAGTCCTTACGCTTGCAGGTGAAGATGTCTCGCCCATTGTCCCGTCTCTCTAGATCTTGAACAATTTGAGTTATAACCAATGGAGGAAGCTGGGTAGAGGGTACAGGTGTTTCTGTACTGCCTTTGGGACTTCTTACAAACATATCATTATTTCAAAATGTAAAAAGCTTCTTAAAAGTGGGCAACAGTACCAGACTGTGGAGCAAACAAGCAGCTGTGCAAGAGACTGAAAGATAAAAATAAAATAAATGCAACTGCGCCAGATATTCCATGCTGCGACAAGGACCACAAGGTAAGGTGGTCTCTAATCTCCCTGGGCTAGACAGTTACAGAATTCCCCAAAAGGGGAAAGTGAGTTTAAATGAAAGGACAGGTGTCTCCTGAGAAAATGCTGGTCATAAGAAAATGAAAAATTATTTACTCTTATTATTTTCATGGGATTAGAATGAAGCATAGAATGAAGCTCCATTATTCTTGTACGGTTTTTATAAAGCAAAGAATAATCATATATGATAATGGGTTTTATTATGAAATTGTCAGACATGTAGATGCTCCCTCCTTTAATATCCACAGTAGCACCACAACACAGAGTTATACTTACTGTAGAGGAGAATCGACACTCATTTAGAAATGGGGTATGAGAGGCGCCAACAACCCTTCCACTTTCCCTTTCTATCCGGTGCTCTGATCCCATGTTTAAACTTGATTTAGGTGGATCTCTGCTTCTACCTGGCTCTTTGCCAGGCTTCTTCAGTTGGGTCTGAACAATTAAGACTAGACTGGTTCAGAACCATAATTCAGAGTGAGTCTACACCTCCAGCCATGGAGAGATGCCATTATCACGAGTAGCATTTTCTATAAAACTCAAAAGACCTGTGGTGTGCATATCTACATCTGGAAAGCACTCCACATACCAACCAAATATGGAAGGAACCTTGTTCGGGGCGCCCCTTGGCCTCGGCGCACTGGGCTGGGAAAGGACCACCCAGGCGGCGTGTCCCTACCTCCGGAGCGATGTAGTCGGGAGTCCCACAGAAAGTATTTGTCTTCGCGTCCCCTAGCATGTTCTCCTTGCACATGCCAAAATCTGCTATTTTGATATGTCCGTCTCTGTCTAACAGGATATTATCTAGCTTCAGGTCTCTGGAAAATAAAAGCAAAGTGAAATCTCACCTGAATAAACACGGTTTTGTTAAAATGGAATCCTCATGGGCCTATGGTAGTCTGTGTTATCACAGTTGGAGGCGGGGCATAAGGGGAGGCTCTGTTGCCACCTGATCCTCTGGACCAGGCATGGCTGTTTGTAGGGAAAGCTGTAGCCACGCCTTCTTAGGGGCTGCTACAGGTGTGCCTGACCAGGCTTGTGAGGGCGTGGTCAGAGTGACGTAGTGGGACTGCGTTTTCGGTTTTCTTTGCTTCTTGCTGTACTGACTGCTACCACAGGCTGGCTGGTTCGCTCTGTAAGTAAGGCCTTTCCCTATTAAATACCCTTATATTTCTACCTTACTCCGTATTGGTAATTTCCCACAATAGCTGTTCTCAGTTGCTCATTGCCTGCTGTCATTTGTCCCACCTTCCCATAGCAGTGGCTCATGTTCAGGGCTTCTCTTGAGGTCCTTGCTGCCCTGGCCATCCAGCTTGGGCCAGACACTGCAGTAGACTCTCATACCTTCCACACCCTTCTGAATACTTGTTGCACCTTAGGGGATCCATCCATATTTCCTATGTGGGTGTGTCAGCAGGAGAAGGAGTCCATCCATGTTCCATGTGGATGTCTCAGCTGGAGAGTGAGTATATTAGCATCCCGAGTCATTGCCCCAGTGGCAGTTCTGACAACACACTAAGCACTCAAGATTATTTATGGAATCACTTAACAACCAACCAATGCCTATTAGCTGGGAAGCACACCTGAGTATCTGTTCTAACAGCTAGCTCCGCTTCCTGTGAGAATAAGCTGACTAGAGAAAGAGTGGGCCCCAGCTATGCTGCTGTAGCTGAGACCTAACAGATGTCCCTGGAGTCATTGTCTTCCATTTGGTCCACTTTAGTCATCTCTACTACCCACATGTCACCAAGTTTCTGTGTGACTGGGGATCCCTAGACACATCTCAGATTCCTGATAACACCTGTTTCTCTCTGTTTCTGCCACTTTCACAGCCGAGACAGAAGATGCCTGCTGTGTCTGATCCTTCTCTTTGGAGAGTGCTGGTCTTCTGTCGCCTGATCTTTCACTAGAGCTAAATACACAACTTATCAAGTTTATCCATTCAGTCCAATTACAGGCTGATCTAAATTCATACACTAACAATTCAGGCTTATTAGCTAATCCATATGCTATGCCATATTGGCGTCATTTTCAGTTTGTCATTTATAGATATGTTTATATAGTTCTAAAATGTGGCTGAAGATGACGGGAGACATCTCTAGAGAGTTAGATATCCACCTGCGGTGCTTTAGAGAAGACCAGCACAATGGCCACAATATCTACTTTCCCTGAGTTCTTTGGCTTACACATACATCTATTTCATCATTTGAGTCTCATAGTAGACCTTTGATATCAAGCTGTTATTATTATTTTACAGTTCATGTTACAGTATGAGTGTATGCGATGTATGTATTAAGGTATACAGGTGCATGTGTGGGTAGGTGCTCACACTTGTATGTGTGTGTGTGGAGGAGAGAGGAAGATGGTGGGTATCCTGTTCTATCAGTCTCCATCTTTTCCGCTCGAGACAGGGTTTCTTACTGGACTTGCAGCTAGACAGCCAACCAGTAATCCCCAGAGGTCCTCCTGTCTCCTCTCCCTCCATCCTTGGATTACAAATGCATGCAGTCATACTTGGATTTTTTTTTTTTTTGTGGGGATGTTGGGATTTGAACTTAGGTCTGTAAGCTTGAGTCATAAACACTCCTTCCTACCCACTGAGCCATCTCCTCAACTCATCAAGTTACTATGAGTATAGTTTTCTTTTTTCTCAGATAAGATAAAAGTTTCTCATGGATGATGTTATTTATCCAGACCACATAGACAGTCAGTGGACTGGGATGCAAACCTTGTCTATCTTACATTCTTTTATACCAAGACCACCTGGTCTTTCTCATCAAACTGGCCTCATGAAACTATACACGGATGTATTTTAACTGATTCTAAAAATAAATGTTCTCTGTGCCTCTGGCTAGGAAAAATAAGCTTCATGTCAAATTTCCAATCCATTTTTTAAAGCAGTACAGATGTCTTTGGGATGGTGGGAAAGAAACTCCGAGAGACCTAGGTTGGAATGGAAAGGTCCTGAAAGACCATTTTTTTTCCCCCAAAGCTAGTAAGAAATGGAGGCAGAAGAGTAGCCAGGTTCTTTGGAGCAACTAAAGATCCAGAACATTCCAAGGCAAAGTCATTCAACTTACTCTTCACTATAGGATATCAAGACTCAAGAGAAGCACTTTAGAGTCCGAGTCCACTGTTAGTCTCTGTGGCACATGTGCATCAAGCATAACAGAAAATAAAGTGGAATCCTTTGGCATGTGGTCAGTGCTGGAGAAGATCTTCTATTCAGAAGCCAAGTCACAGTTGGTTTCATGGTGGATCTTCTCAGCTGTGTCACTTGCCTTTGTTGAGCCTCTTGTTACTAACCAATACAAGGCCCATGATGCCTTTTGCTTATCTCTGGTGGCATCTGCTGAGACAGGCCATGGGAGAACATTTGGAAATGGCCTCAGATATGAAGGTGAGGCCTAGTTTGTCATTTAAAACCACAGTCACTCCTTCTCAGCTCTGATATTCTCAGAGCTATGGATCTAGATTTTCTTCTAATGTCTATGTTCTGAGTACTTGGTTTTATATTACATTCAAACTTGGACCTGCAGCATCTCTTAAAATGTTACTGTTTCCATGAGAAGGCTCTCCTGCTTCTCCCCATCTCATCAGTTCAGTTCTGTGCTGTCCTGTGGTTGGCTCTGAAATGGTGAATTTAGTTTTGTTCCACATGCGGGCATTAGGCAGCTCTAACTGACTTGTCTATTTCTGCTTGGCTTCCTTCATGTGTGTGTGTGTGTGTGTGTGTGTGTGTGTGTGTGTATGTGTATGTGTAGGGGTGGGGCAAGCTCCTCTGAAGTCACTTTTTCTATTAGAAAATCCTCTTCCTCTTAAACAAAACAAAACACTACCAGAAGATAAGAAGTTTTTGTGTTGTTGGAGTGCTAGCAGTTCTGACAAGGTCTTTTTCTCTCCCTTTAAAACTGGAATCCTATTTATTTGAACTTTTTAGAATGTACTGCCCTCTATCTTTTCAAGTAATTCTGCCCTCCAAGAAAATCTAGGAAATGGTTTCATTTAGATATTTTAGAGTTGTGAATTTTGCATATTTTCTGCCCATTATGATCTTCAATCAGGGACCAGTTCATGATACTGGTTACAGAGTAGTAAATGGTGCCTACCCCATACATATACGTACACACACGCATACACACACACACACACACACACACACACACACACACACACGAAGGCACGAATGCATGTGGGTATGCAGGAACTCACTGTGTATCCCAAACTATCCTTGACTTGTAATCCTCTTGCCTTAGTCTATTGGCTGCCAGGATCACAGGCATGTACCACCATGTCCGGCTTTGCATATGTTATTTTTTTAAATAATAAAAATATAATCCATGCCCTACTCCCTAAAGTGCTGTGAAAGTAGCCTCATTTAAGAAAAAGGGTATTTGTTGATATAATTAAGGTAAAGGTATCAAGATGAACTCATCCTGAATTGCATGTGTGGTGAAGGCAGACTAAATTTATCATGCCTTCTCATGTCACACAGAGGGGAGACACACAGGAGAGAAGGTCCTGGTGGAGACAGAGAAATGTCTGCAGCCACTCCAGCTGGGTGGGTTGAAGAAGGATCTTCCTCTAGAACCTCTGGTGAAAGGCTAGCCCTGGTCATACATTGATTTCAGTCTTCTAGTCCCTAGAGCTATGACAGAATAATGTTCTGTTTTTAATGTGCCACAGAATTATGTTAATTTTTAAGTAGCCCTTCAAAATGACTAACTACAGTTTGTAAACAGACAGAAGTAATCCTATGTGGTCCACAGGAGGAAATGAATAGACTCTGCCACATTAAATCATCACATTAAGAGTTCATACCAGTCAAGTTACCCCTGAACCCTTGAAACGTCTTTTAAAACAGCCAAGTTCAGTGTCATTGGCAGCTGAAGTTTGGTGTCAACTTTCTCCATCAGCAGCTTGCTGTCTTCGCCAAGCAGCATGCGGGCAGAGTTAATGGCCTCATCTCAATTTTAATTATCTCATGATGCCTCTCAAAGATCTACTATGACCTCATTCAATGAACCAAATACTCTTCCCTGCTTGGTACATAAGAAGACTGAAAAACATAACTCACATATGTGGATAAAACCCTAAAATGAGTGTATGCTGTTTCTCATAGTAAGACATTTTTTGGTCCTTTTGTTCTGCACATCCAACAGCATACCAAGATGGAAGCCCCATGCTGAATGATAAGAGAACCACTGGGGCACATGGGTTTCAGTTTCATAGGTCCCTTTCGACTCTGTGATATCTAGTTCTCTGTCTTTCCAAATTCCTAACCTTTTCCCTCTTTCACATCCATCTAGTCCACTCACCAATCCATTCATTTATTGACCCAATCACTCCCTTCATCCACACACCAGTCTGCCCACCTAGCAACACACAAACTATCCAATATTAAGTACAAATGTATTTTTACATATTTCAGGAATTATAATGAAACTAAGAAAAATCATGAATTTTGATCAAGGTTTTCAAATAATGTTTAGGTGAATATGGAGATATGACAGCACAAACTCATTTTAGTGCTATTGGCATGTTTAATGATACAGGTTATGAGTTTGTCTTATGTTCTAATAAGGAAGAATAATGCATTTGTTAATGTGCTCATGAGGTTGCAGGAGATCCTTGAAAGTCATTATCCTTAATCTACTACTTTTTGGATAGCTAGAAAAAATTCTAGAGAGATAGCTCAGTGGCTAACAGTGCTTACTGCTTATCCAGAGGACCTGAATTCAATTCTCGGGATCCATGCTGGGTATCACACAACCACTTGTAAGTCCAGCTCCAAAGAATCTGAAGTTTTCTCTATTCTCTGTAGGTATGCATACATGCGACACACACACACACACACACACACACACACACACACACACACACACACAGAGCTTAACAGAAGCTTATATTCAGAGTGTACTTAAACTGACTGGATTCCCAAGTCAAGCCTAGGTCTTCAGTTTTGAGATACCATGCAGAGCATCCTCACCAGGACACATCTGGAAATGGAGTGTTCTTAGTGTATGATTGTTTTTTCCTGATAGCAGGACCATACTTTGTAAACACCAATGCTTCAGTGTTGACCAAGGCTCTAGACAGCCACGTGTAAGACAATGGAACTTTTAATGGTGACTCCAGGTCATGGCTGTCCAAGATCAAGCCCCCATGTTGGTTTCTGGCAGTTCAGCCAACTCCTCAGCTCCTTTTACTCATGCCCTCCCTCCCTCTCTTCATCTATTGTGAGTCTGGAAACCAGACATCTGAAAACTAACTTTGGAAGATTTTATGCTAAATGAGTCAATTGTGTTTGGAGAAGAAAAGACTGAAGTGTAATATAGCATTTATCTAAGAGCTCTGGCAGCAGAACATGAAATAATACCATGCAAAAGAGAAAATTTGAGTTCACTAAAGAGGACAGAGGAGGTGGTCTGTGTGCTTCTGTAGCATGTAGTGGTAAGTTTTCGGAGATGTTGAAAGAGCTTCCTTCTCTAAATCAAGAGGAAACATTGCACAAGCATTTCTAGGTGACCTAAAATAAAAGCAAGAGGTTCCAAAGGGGACAAATGGTGGAGAAAGCAGAAATAAGGCACCAGAGTTGAAGCAGTGACAGGAGGAGGAGAGGGAAAACCAGTGCAAGAATAAGAATAAGGGCGAAGAGAAAGGACCAAACAAGACAGAAGCTATGGCTTCCAGGATTGGAACTCCACAGTGGGGACTGTTCTGGGCAGGGACTTTTCTCCCATGATGTTTTCGCATCACTCAACTTTAATGGACTGGGTTGTGAAATCAAGGCAGATGGAGCATGGTTTACCTGTAGACAATTCCTTTGGAATGAAGAAATTGCAGACCAAGGATGATTTCAGCAGCATAAAACCTGTAAGAAAGACAGCCAAGACACAGCATGAGTATAGGAACAGAGCAGGGCACAATCTTCAAGCCTTGTGACAGTTTATATCTGTTTAAATGGCACCCATGCACTTTTGCTTAATTCCAGTAAAGAAGATGTCATCCACTCTGTACTTAACACAAAGGCTCTAGCTCACCGGTGCTGCCCAGAAAGCATAATTTAAGAGCTGGTGAATCTGCTGTTTGGTCTTTTAAACTGCAATGCCCAAACTACCTTAAAACCCACGAAAACATGAAATGTAATAAATAGTACAGTATAGCAGGAAAATAGCATCCTCCTTTATTTTAAATTCTGTCTGGAGTCCACAGAGCTCTATGCCAGGCAATTCCCAACATATCTGGCTAGAATATTTTCATATTGATGATGTTAAGCATGGGCCAGAGCCATAGCCCAAGAGGGGGAAAAAGGATATTAGAAGATAGCCGGTGATGCGCTGGTCCTCATTGTCAGTGGTGACAGGCTTAAAGGAAATGAGTTTATGTCTCTCTAGCAGGATTAAGCTAGACATAGGGGAGACCTTCCTGGAAGTGAAATTTGCTGGGTCCTAGGAAGAATGCATTTAGGACACAGTAGGGCAGTAGGTGTTCAAGTTAGCTTCATGTTTTATAGAACCCTCAGGGACCGAATGGACCTTTTCTCACACACACACACACACACACACACACACACACACACACACATCCTTGTGTGAGTGCATAATGCCCAGTGATTTCTGTGAAATGCTGCAGATATCCGATAAAATAATCGCAGGTGCTTGGCTGAAGATGCCTGAAGACAATGGGAGTGGCCCAGCACTCGCTTCTAGAATTGATAAAAGAGCCATGTTGTTGGGTTTTGCAGCAGCTGGTGGACCAAGTGCATCTTTCAGTCCAGTTCAGCCTAAACCACTCAAAGTGGTCATGAGGAGGTATATGATAGATGGCTGAACATAGAGGGAAAAAAGCTAGTACATAGTTATCTTTAAAAAAGACACATTTATTTATTTATTTATTTATTTATTTATTATTTATTTATTTATTGTGTGTCATGGTATATGTGTGCAGAACAGAGGACAACCTATGGGAGTCTGGGATGGGACTCAGGTCATGAGACACCATTACCTACTGAGCCATCCTGGTAGCCCTAGCTATTATTTGTAAATGATGCTAATTCCACTGCTTACTTTTGCGTGTGTGTCACCGTGGGTTTATCAGGAGGGAAGCAGGACCCAAGACTAAGAGACAAACAACACTTGCAGGACAGCTGTGCGACCCAGCCACAGTCCTACCAGGGAAACAGCTGGCTCCACTTGCATCTCTGGCTGTTTGGTGCCAGAGAGGGTGAGGTTTATTTTCAAATACACAAAGGGCTGAATGCTTTATAACTTCCCTCTGAGCTTACCCATGACAGGCTGCAGCTCAGTGCCATCCCCAGGACTACCTGGGATATCCATATTCCATTTCACTGTCCTTTCTAAAGGACATATATTTGCATTTGTGCTCAATGAGTTAAGAGCTTGATGGGCTGGAGAGGGCTCCTATTAAATGAATTAATTGTCTGTATCATGTTGAACATGAAATAAGACAGGAGTGGATTTCCCATTTACAAAAATGGGAAACTGTTGGCTTGTTTGACACTATTCCCAACAATTTACCCTGTTCTGGAATTCAGGCATGCCAAGCAAAAAAGTAAGAAAAATAACATCTGAGGGGGCTAGAGAGATGGATGGCTCAGTGGTTAACAGTACTTGCTACTCTTTCAGAGGACCCAGGTTCAAATCCCAGCACCCACAGCAGGTGACTCGTAGCTGCCTGTAACTCTAGTTCCAGGGCATCTTCTTCTCGACTCCAAGGGCACTGCTTGCACATGTGCACATACACAAACTCAAGCGCACACACAATCACAGAAAAGCAAATAAAAACCCGCAAACCACCAAGAATACAGAATGTCACAAATACCAAATGGGGCTCTTACGTGGCTCTGCAAAGATCAAATTTGTGGCAACTTTGGATGTGGTACATTAAGTCTCCCCCATTAAGATATTCCATCACGAAAAAGAGGTTTTCCTAGGGAAAAAAACCAAACACCAATTTTTAGCACTGAAGGAAAGAAAAGAAAATTGACTTTTCAAAGAGTTTAGACAATTTTAGAGGAACCAATTCTATCATGAAATGTCCTATGAAAAAAGGTCATTCAAATACTTCAGCTGAACTATATTTTTGAACACAGGGTATGTGGGGGATCCCTGTGGGAGGATAGGTAACGCACTAAGTGGCTGTGTACAGGAAACAGGAGGACTAAAAACTGGATTGGATTTGCCTGCTGAACAATGGGCAATGTGAAGCAGTCAGTGGGTGCAGATCATACCCTTGCTCAAATAGACAGCGTGTAGGATGGTGTTTGGGTCTCTGACTCCATGTTATATGATGCTAGGCCTACGCTCAGTGAGCACGTCCTGTGGGTGATATTCCAGATCTCCCATCAGAGAGTCCTTTAGACTTGTTGTCAAGTTTGCATATTACTCTCATGTCCACGTCATGGCAGAGGTAGCCATAGTTTTAGAGCATGTAACTCCTAGCATAGGATACTCTGCCTGGCATTAGAAATACAATGCTCATAGGCAGTGATCATCAGAAAGCATGTGTAATCCTCTGGTCATCGGTGATAGTGTCAGATATCAGAGGTCCCAGATTCCAAACAGATCATGTTCCACCAATACTGCGAGACATTATTTCTCCAAGAAAAAACAATCACAGCTCTTTGAACACCTGGATGTTTAAAAGTTTTTAAAAGTCACAGAGTCACTAAACCATGAAGTGTGGAGACAGTGTGTTTATGCAGGAATTTGCACTTAACCTCAACTGAGTGATTTTTTTTTTTTTAAAACAGGATTAACTTTATGTCTGGAATTGAGACTAATAGGGTGTTAAGGCAGACAAGGTAATGGTTCAAAGTGTTCTGGCCTCATGGTGACATTCATCTGTACTGAGGCCATATTTCCCCAGAACAAGAAAAGCTAAATATCATGGCAATTATGTTCATAATTCAAGTAAATTTAACTATCCACCCACTTCTTTCAAAGTTGACCCAGATATAATTTCTAGATTCCGCTACTTGAGCTGTAACACACACACACACACACACACACACACACACACACACACACACACACACACACTTTTTTTTTTTTTTTGTCTGTTGCACACAGCAGAATTGTCAATTCAATTGTTGTAACTTAGCCCTGACATTTCAAACATGACTGAGAGTGGTCATTTCCCTTATCTGGAGCCACACCTTTCTCCCCTGTGATTAGTGTTTAAACCACTTCCTGCCTTTACCATTTTCAGTTAAAGCTCTACTGGCCTTGAATAAGCCAGGACACAGGCATCTTTCATATGTATGATTAAAATCATGTGACAGGAGCTTGGGGAGATGGCTCAGTTGGTAAAGTTCTTGCCTTGAAAGCACACAGACCTCGGTTCAAATGACAGCACCCATGTAAAAATGCCAGACATGGTGGTATGCATTTGTAATACCAGTGTCAGGGAAGTGGGGACATATGGATTGCTGGGGTTTCCTGGCCAGCCAGTCTAGCATATTTGGTGAGCTCCAGGTCCTAGTGAGAGACCCTGTCTCAAAAAACAAGGTGGAGAGATCCTGAGTGACACATGAGGTTGACTTCTAGCAACCTCCACGTGATGTGCACACGTATGTACCCATACACACTAATGTACACATTTACCCATACACACCCACCACACATGAAACCAGTCGGGAAGGCCATCAGTAAAATGGCAAAGAAGATAGGTCCTTTTTAGTGGCAGGATTATGAATGGAGCCCTGCAATATGTTTGGGTTTCACCGTTTATACACTGTCAATTTAGACTTGGGAAAAGTGGATAAAAGAGAGTAGTAGAAAAAAATGTTACCTCTATCCCACATATTCCACACATTATGCCTGTGATGGGGGCTTTGTGAAAGTTGGGGCCTTAAAAGAGGACCTAGTTATTATTCTCTTGGTTCACTCTTCCTAGCTCAGGAAGGACTTTTCCACTTGGCAGGGCGTTTATAGCAATTCTGAAGGAGTCCAGGACATCCATACTTGACTTGTCCTGAGCAAAATTCTGTTTTATTACTCTGGTCTTTTCTTCTTTAGTTTTGCTGTATGGTCATGAATGGCCTTGATTGCCTACTACAAGTAATCACGACTTCCCCCAGCACCCCCAGATCTCAGGAAGGATCAACCAAACTAGTTTGGTCAAGACCACTTGGCTACGTGCTTCTTGCCACCTGCTTTAGTCTTTCTCCAATAAGATGGTAGAGCTATCATCAGTCCTCTGAAGGCAGAGCTCTGAATCCCAGTGTGGTGACACAGACCTACAATCCCAGCACTCAGAAGGCTGAGACAGGGGATCACTGTAAAAACAGCCTGGGTTACAGAGTGAGTTCAAAGCCAGTGAGCTACCTAGTACTACATGGGATTTGGAGTTTGGGGATCCTGTTTCTGAGCATAGATGGCCCCTTTAAAATTTCAACCCCATTGCTGAAACATCTGTACAAATGACTTTCATCTGTGGCCAAGGATGGAGGGCTTAGAAAGTGACTTTCTGCTGACCTGGATCCCTTCACAGTTGGTATCAAAAGCTCTGCCAACTGGAAAAGTCCAGACTGAGCTAGGTAGTGTGAACTGAGAGGAGGAGATTAAGGGTAACGGATAAAGCATGGCCTTTGTCTTTTCTTTGAGCTGATTTCGGATCACCTTTATTTACAGGGCAAGTTCCTTAAGCTCTCCTGGGCTTCATTTGGTTTCTGAAACCAGGAACATTAACGTTTGTGCCTCTAAGGATTGTCCTGAGTGTGAGATGAAAGGATATTTGTAGGAAGTGAACTTAAACTTGGCACCTTGCATACACTGAGTAATTGGTAGCACAATCATTATAAAAAAATGAATGGCTGGGTGGGGGTGGTGCATGCCTTTAATCCCAGAACTGGGGAGGCAGAGGCAGGTGGATCTCTGAGTTCGAGGCCAGTCTGATCTACAGAGTGAGTTCCAGGACAGCCAGGGCTACACAGAAAAACCCTGTCTCAAAAAAAAAAAATGAATGAAATTAGTTAATACTAATAAGCAAACAATTGCTTTTTAGACAAAGACTGAACAGCCTGTGGCTCTTGAAAGAAGAAAACAAAATTAATGTTCCTCTTCTAGGCTGGTCTCTTGGCTTTGCTCCCCAGCTAAGAGAAAACACAAAAGAGCTCAGTGAGAGGGCTGGGCTCACTTTGTCTGTTGATATGTTAGCTGGTACAAGGGGTCTTTTCAGGTACCCAGGAGCTGAAGTTTTAATAGGATGGGGAATGGAACACTACAAATCTGCCCCCACTCAGAGCTCATAAACTCCTGGTGCAGCATTTACTAAGTATAAGTTCTAATATGTGAACCTAGCCCAGCCTGTTATTAACCAGTTGAGTGATGAAGCCCTACCAACCCATGTTTTCAATGAGATGTATTTGTCAGAACCTTGACTAAACACCACATAGTTTTATACTTTTTCCCTTTTCTTGGGGGAAAAGATGAAATTAATAGACAGTGCCCATTCAGCACAATGTACTAAGATCTATCTACCACTTCTGGGTAATAAATATTAGTGAGAGGATGTCAAGCTAATAAACTCCCAGGAGGGATGACTGCCCAGAAATAATGCATATTTGATGTATAATTAAGAATAGAGAAATCTTCTTTTGGACATCCCTCCAGTGAGATGGGACATACAGCTAGCTTTCTAGCTGTTTAGAGTAAACAGTGAAGGTGGTAGGCAAGGCCATTTTGATTGGCCATTTTACTTGGTTTCTAAAAAGTGCATCTCTTTCTTTGAGAAGAAAACTATGAGATGCTCAGAGGACAGGACTGAAGCAAGGGAGACAATCGTGATTCATGGGACTCTGGCCTCAATGGCAGCATACAGAAACTATTTAAGTAGAAAAATATATGAAAGAGTGAACTCTCTATCAGAAAGCTATCTCTGAGCTGATGGATTAAGCTAGTCAAGGCACTTTCTGCCAACAGTGATGACCTGAGTTGGGTCCCAGATTTCACATTGACTCCCAAGGCTGTCCTGGGACCTCCACACATGCTGTGGCATCTTCACACACACACACACACACACACACACACACACACACACCAGACACACATGTAGAAATGTCTCTTGGCTCAATTTGCTCCCCACATGAAACACAGTAAGTCCTCAGCACCACTGTTAGTATCTGATTTGCAAAGTGCACACTCCTACAGGGCTTTCTACTAATGCCACACTCTTCAGAATGCATCCTTTGAATGTCCTTCCACTGTCCACTGCTTTTATTAACATAACAAGAAACCTTGTGTTGTTCCTGTCCTGTGGGTGAAGCAAGAGTCAACCCATTTGAGAGTGAAGTGTCTTGGAAGCAGGAATTTATTGAGTAATGCTTAGGGGTCCTGGCTAACAGGAGAGGGTTTGATGTAGCATTCAATGACATTTACTGACTGCTCAACTTCTAGTTTGTAAATACAACCATGATATGCACGAAGTCCTTAATGATAAGGCCCAAAATTGAGAGGGTCACAGTGCTTCTTGCTTTACTGTGATTTCCCGACAAGCTGATGTTCTGTTACTAGAACACCTAATACGGGTACTCTGGAAGAGCAGTATGTGCTTTGTGTGTTTGTTTTGCTTTATTTGTTTGAGACAAAGTCTTTCTATGATGTAGCTCTGGCTGTCCTGGAACTCACTCTGTAGATCAGGCTGGCTTCGAACTCACAGAGATCCACCTGCCTCTGCCTCTTAAGTGCTAGGATTAAAGATATATGACACCTCTGGGTCTCCATTATTTCTCTAGCCCCTGTGGCTTTGTGTTTGATTGCATTGTTGGTGCCTTGAAAATGTATTTATGGTCTGTAATTCTCTTTCTTTGTTGAGTCTTTGTTTGGTTTGGATATCAGGGTGACTGTGGCCTCAGAGAAAGAATTTGACAATGTTCCTTTGTTTCTGCTTTGTGGAATAATTTGAGGAGTATTGGTATTAGCTCTTCT